AAAACTGAGGGAGAAAACATCTGGGTTTGTCTTTTACTTTTGCAATATGTCATTTTTCAGAACTTCCCAATGTGTGTGGCCTCGTGGCCTCTTCCAAACCACACTGAAAGTAGTACAAGGACTCCCGTTGGCCAACATGGGGTAACATTGTCTGCAGAAAGATGCAATTCAGAAAATATTTACATATGGCATGCCCGCTATTTCCCTGTTGTTTATTTCCTTCTATTATTTAGCTTGGGAGGGCTGTGGGTACTTTGTGCAAATCACTTCTCAGGCCTGTTACAAGAGATTGTGTCCAATCCAAGGGGTTTTACTGCCTTAGCACTGGCTCCTGTTTCTGTTCCTGTGTTCCCATCTGTCCATTCCCCTGTGCCAAAGACACAGAGGAGAACCAAAGGACAGGGAATAAATGCTCAGCTGCATCTCACAGGTACTCCAGGGGTGCCTGAAACCAGCACTGTGCACTAACCAGAGAAGAAATTCCATCTCTGGATGAGAGGTAATAAGTAGGGAGTGAATTATAATGAATCTTGAAAGTAAGGATAAATAACTTTTATCTAACAGAGGGGAGAAGCTGGAGCTGGCAATGGGAAAAATAAAGAGGTGAATGGCATGGAAAATGATCCTGGCAGGAAGCTTCATAGTGAGCAGAGGGAAAGATCATTTATATCAAGGCCTGGGCACAGCAGGAACTGGAAGGGGAGGGTGTGAACCCGAACCAGATCCTCTCCTCTCTTTACATTTGTGAAAGACTGCATTTTAGGAATATCAAAAGGAAAATTAACTTTCAGCCTTAGAAGTAGCAGGAGGAGCAAGTGCTTCAGGCTGGAGATGGTCTGGGATGAACATAATCTTGTGCTATGGGTAAGGGTGCAATCCTGTCCTATTTAGCTGTCAGCTGGACCAGTGTTTCTCCAGGATGTTTTATGAAGCCTTGAGAGACAACAGTGGATTCAGCACATTGGAAATTGCTTACCCTGGAGAGGGAAAGGTGCCAGCACCAGTCAAACAGTGTCCAGCTTCTTCATTAGAAGCAAATTGTTTGAAGCTGGAATCTTTCCTGACTGGTGTTTTTCCCTTAATTTTCCTGTGGAAGGATCACTGAAAAAGCTGTTCCAGGCACTGTGATCATGCATTCCTACAGCCTTAAAAGTTAAACTTATTCCAAGTGCAGCCCCCATATGTTTGAGGCCTATATGCATAATGTATTTTAACATTGCTAAGGCATCTGTGACCTCAGCTCAGAAATACCATGAGAGGGAATGGCAGAAGCCAGACAGATGAAGGACGGGGGGTGTAGAGCTTAAAACAGGCTCATTAAAATGTATTTTTCTAAGTCTGAAAAAATAATGAGAACCACCCCTTGATCCCTTTCCCTGAAAGCAGTGATCAGATGTTTGAGAGGCCAGTTTCATTCTTATTAATAATTTTTTATTAGGAAGGATGGAAAATATCTAATGTGATAACTACGAAGGTATGCGGGTCCTTTTTATTATGAACATTTATTTGTGTGATAAAATTACCCTCAGGCAGCAAAGTCCTCTACTATTGCACATATACACCTGGTCCTTTTAGCTATTGCTTATCTCTTCTGTAATGAAATACCTACTTTAGGTGCATCAAATAAACAAATCAGAATAGCACAGACCCAACACTATGTGGCCACGTTTCTGTCATTTTTCTGTGTAAACTGGGAGCTTTCTTTCATTAAGGAGAATGAACGTGCTACTTGAATCATTCCAAGGAATCATAGCCCTACCACCTTCTTAAACTATCTATTGATATCTACAGCACTTTAATCCATCTCTTCTTCCCACCCCACACAGTGAAAAGGCAGAAGTCTCAGTTTGCATTATTTTAGCCTTCTAGTCTTCTTAAAGATAAATAATGTTCCCTGAGGTTTACGTTAGGGATTGAATATCTTGGTGCTGAATAACTCTGGAAATAAATCAAATGAAAGGGGGGCACAGCCTTTAGCTCTGTTTCTGGGGCTTCTTTTCAGACTATGATTTTTATGTAGCACTTTTGTTTCATCTGTTTGAGGACAAAATGTAAAATGTTTTCAGAAAACATCTTCCCTTTCCTTTTTCTTAATATAGACATGAACTTTTTTTTCAACTATCTCAGAGTTTTGAGGCTGACAGATGATGTTGCACATGAACTTGGCTGCTTTGTGGCACAACCTGGCTTGCTATTAAGAAACTGTCTCTGATCTACAGCTTTTCAAATATTTCACTCCCAGTTGTTTTTGACATGTCTTTTTTTTTTTTCCCCCTGGCTTTCCTTGGATTTAGGTGTTTTGTTGGAATTATCACTGTCTGGCTTCACATTATGACTTAGTAGACTTTTAATTTTAGTAGACCTGAGCACAAAAAATGAAAATTAAGAAACTGTTCCACTAGACTTAAAGCTTTATGGCTCTTGAAATAGTCAGGGGCACCTCAGCTGTAGAAATCAGATGCTGATAAGTATGAATCCTATAGAAGATTTCAAAACTAATTGTGTTTCTTCAGAGTCAGGGCTGTGTAATGTTTGGCTGCCTGTTAGATTGAGCTTAGGCTGCTTTTATGGCTATACAGAAAGGAGTGCAGCAGATAAAACAAAAGAGTAAAAAAAGTAAAAGAAATAAGAAATACTTTGTGTGATTTAGCAGCCTACTTGGAAACAGAAAACAGAATACTGTTTAGTTTTATGGCAGAGGAAGAGAGTTGGTTTCTTGGTCTTTGAAATTATATATAGCTCTGATTTAGTATTCAAGGGAATAACTAGCCCTGACTGTAGAAAAGAATATTTGTGTGATATCTTTTCCTGGCTTTTTAAAATTGAAACCAAGTCGCTTCTACTGGAAGGTATTTCCTTATCTTGTCTGTAGCCCGTCCTTTTTCTTTCACTATTTGAAGTCCACAGGCAAAACCCAGCAATGCTGGATCTGTCCCTGCTGGGAGGGACTGACACAAGCAGAAAGGGAGAAGGCACCAGTCCCTGTTTGCAGCACTCAGGGCACACGTCTGAGGCTTGTTTGGCCGAGATGTGAATTCCTTCCCTTCGTCAGGCAGAGCTACAGCCGTGGACTGTGGCCCAACACAGATTAAAGCAGGTTCTGCTGCTCCTCCTCCAAACAAACCCTCCATCCTGAGGAACTGGGAGCAATGAGGAACAGCAGGGGCTGGCACAGCCCTCAGCAGACGTTCCTGTTGGCACGAGGGGTGTCTGGGTACAGTTCTAAATGCACTGCTGCCCAGCAGAGCATGGAAACAGCCTGCTGCTGCTCCTCTTTGGTGTCACAGTGTTTTCCGGGGAGCGGCATGGGTTTGGTTTTCCTGTCTGCACAGAAAAATGACTGTTCTGTAAGCTCAGAGTGAGATATTCCCTTCTCCTCATACTTATCCCTTCAGATTTTACAATGACAGCATGCTAAGAGGGAACAGAAGGACTGAATAATGCAGAAATCAGTTTGGCACATCTGGAAAAAATGCCTCTGCTTTTCTTTCTGTAAATGTTGCGAACAGGTGGGAAGTGCAGCTGTCTGAGAAACTTCATCTTATTCCCAGGAAGAATTTTTGTTATTTTTTTAATCATCCCCAAAGTGAGATTCTTCAGTTTTGAGGTGATTCTGATTTGCGAAAAATGCTGTTTAAAAGACAGAGAGTGACAGACACTATGAAAAAAGAGTAAAAAAATCTGTGCAAACACAACTTTTTAAAAAAACCACAGAATTAAGATGGAAGAATCTTACCATACCCTGACAGAGAGAGCCTTCTAGCAATCATTTCCAAGATCTCCATAGGCTGATATGCCACAGGAACTAAAAGTCTTGGCATCTAGTGAGACTTTCACCCTTTATTTCAAGGTCACAGTAACTTCAATGCACATGATTTTAATGGGATCAAGAGGGGATTGTCACCTGTCACCCCATGGGTGGTGGCCTGTCTTGGGGCTGGTGCTTCGTGAGGATCTCTGTTCTGTCCTCTTAACCACAACCTGTGCATTAATATTGAAATAACCCTTAAAATTCCTACAGCATTGCACCCATGTGGAGATAGGTGACTTTAAATGCACCTTTAAGCAATTGTGGAAATTTCTATGCTAAGAACTTATTCATACGAAATTGTTATTCATATGAAATTGTTATTCATATGGAATTGTGATAAAGCTCAGAACATGAACCAGAATTTGAAAACTGTGGCTTTTGGCTGCCTTTCAAGAAAGGCATTTTATTTTCACCCTGCATTTGGTAATCCAAAATGAAAATCTAATTGAGATGGAAGGGTAACTGCTATGTGCCATGTTGCACTGATCGTGGAAGTTACTTTACATAGTTCTGGGAATGTACAAGTTGCCACAATCTTTTTGTGCTTTCATTTATAAAAATCTTGCACAATAAGGTGGCTGTGGGCAGATATTAATACTAATGCATGAGGCAACTGCTTACCTTGTATGTGCAGGGCTGTTTTGTGTAGATGGTTTCTTCACGTGGGTTTATCACTTCTCCTCCAGTTCTGCCTTCATTCCCTCTCCTTTTACTGCCTGACTTCATCAAGTCTTTACTCTTCTGCTTGTCCAAAAAGTACCTTGCAAACCTACAGGGATAAATAAATAGCATTAGTGATAAATGCCTAATCAGTTACCTTGTAGTTCTTGGCCTCAGCATTGACTCTGTTGGCTTGTGCAAAACCAGCCCTGCGGGTGTGGTGAAGCCTCCAGTGTGGTGTCCCACAGGATGGGTGTAGAGCAGCAGCACACGGGGGTATTTTTGTTGAGCTACAGATGCATTTTTATATAAAAATGTGTAAAAAAGCAAAGATTCCTTAGTAATCAGTTAAAGCAGTTGGCATTTTTCACGGATGTACAGAAAAGAAGTCTCCTTATTTTAGAGTTCATTTAATGAAGCTTATGGCCAATCTTATTCTTTTCATAATGAAGCCTTGCTGTAATCCCACCTCTGCTCTCCTAAATTCCTCAGTTCAAACGTGGAGATAGCAGTTAAAATTAAATGCTACTTCATGGAAACCACCAGTTCTCTTATTCCTGAGAATTTTCATCCTTGAGCTTCTCGGGCTAATGATAAATAGCTGATTCCTTCCCTTCCTTGTGCTTTTTCTCCAAACAACAACATAAAATTGCTCCGTTAAATTCCAGTTCAAATTAATGGAAGTCTGGGGGAGAAGGAACAGACAAACAAACCAGGAAGTGTTTTATATTTGGGTTTTTCGTTTCATCTCGTGGCAGATGGGTTTGGTGTTTTTTACAGCCACCTTTTGAAATCAGTATGTTATTTTGTCATTTCTTTGCAGGAGAGTAACAGCTCTGAATCTTTATCATATTGATCGTTTCACAGCCCTTCGTCTGGGGCCCAAGATAATACAGAGCATTGTTATTGCATTATTATTTTTCATTTGTATCCTATTGATTTGCTGCCAGTAACTTACAGGTCAATTTGCAAAAAGATGGGCTATGATTTATTTTTTTTCTGAAGGATTATGCCACGATGGGAATGCTTTTATAAGGCTGTCAGGTCTTTAGGTTTGTTTTTTCTTCTCTTGGGAGTGCAGCACATTTCTGGGCTGGTGGCACAGTTCCACCTGGATTTACACCCGGAGTATCCATGACTCTCACATAATTCATATGGATAAGTGGCTGTACACAAGCCTACCCTTAAATTGGAATTTTACTCCCGGGAAATGGTTCTTTTCTCACTCAGAAATAACACACAAAGTCAATATAGTTACACTGATGTAAAAGAGAGGGGAGAGGAGACTTTATCTGTCTGAACACAACAAGCTCCCAAGGTTTAACACCCCCAAATGGCAGGTGCTAAAAACAGACATGAAAAATTATTTTTGGTACCATCTTTTTTGTTTGCCATAGTAACAACAGTTTACTACCAAGTAGTAGTAGTCCAGTTACTAACAACTTGGTACTCAGAAGGCCCACTTTTGAAACAAAATAAGGACTCTTAACCAAATGTTTTCCTTATTTATATTTGACTTACCATCATTAGAATGTAGATACTAGGAAAGCATGGATTATAACAGTATGCAAAATTGCACAAGTACTTTTAATTCCTTCTGTATAAAACTCCTGCTACATAATTTACACAGGGCAAGTTTTTTAATTACTCAGTGCAAAATGTGTTAAATGCAGTAGCTGATGTATACATCCACCGTGATTTGTACTATTATTTTTCCCTGGAACCCATCCAGGTAAATCAAACCCACAGTGAGGGACTTCCAGTTCATGTTCTGCTTACAGTGTATTGAATTTTCCTGGCACCCTTTCAGCAGGAGCAATTTGACAAGAGAATTTTTTTTGGTAGCACTGAATACCTTTTTCTGCCAGTGAATATTTTCCTGTTTGGAATTGGTGTGATGCTTTATACTGGACTGTGGTACAGAACTGGGTGCTGATGTTAAACCATCCTCTTACCAGCTCAGGTCACTGGAATAACCTTCTCAGTGTGGGAAATTTTATTCTAAATTGTAGATCATTGATGGAGCTCAAAGCGAGACACAGCCCAATTAAATTTCTCATTCATATTGTGTCCCATGACAAGAAAATTATCAAGTAGCTGAATTGATGCCCTTATGTTGTAGGAATATTTCAAAGAATGTTTTAATGTTTTCTTCTCTTACTTGCCCAGGTTTTGCTTCACATTTTGACACCATTAGGTGTCTAATACAACTGTACTAGACGGGAGTGAGGTCAAATGAGATTTCCTGCTTGAAATGGACATGTGAAGTCACAAAATGTGCTGTGAGTGGCTGTTAAATGCAGCACAATGTTTCATATATATATATTCATATATATACACATATGCATGTGCAGCTAAATATTTTAGTATGCATTTATGTTAATATTTGAGAAACAAAAATGACCGTGTTCCAAGACTGCTGGAAGTTTTCTTAAACACTATTGGATGATATAGTGCTATTTATAGACAGAGGAAAAAAAGTAATTTTTTTTGTTGGTAATATTCATGAGTGCTTTAGTGAAGCTGAGATTTTTTTTTAATTGAAAAGGAATTTCCTTAAAAAAAGCCAAATCCTTTAATTTATTACTAAGGAATCTCTGAGTTTTTTACACATTTTTATATGAAAATGTCTCTGAATATTATATTCAGAAGAACTAAGTTGTAGTTTCAAAGTTTGTCCTCCTTTACAAGAATGAAAGATGTTTCAAATTGGTCAAAATCTGTTTCAGCAGGTCTCTGTCAGCTCTGTGTCTGTTAACACAAGTCAGCTTCTGTTAACAAACACAAAGAGTTTAATGTTTAAAGTTAATGCTTTAAACATTGTTTTATAAATCAAAGCAACTGTTTTCCACCAAACCTGACTCCTGCTTTATTTCAGAGTCCTGCAAAAGTATCTGCCTTGTATCTGCCAGTAAATTGTGAAAACAGTTTGTGCTTTCCTCAGTTCAGTTGTACTTCCTAAGAAAGGGAGATTTAGCAAGAGTTTCTAAGTTACCCAGACACTTAGAAAAGACCCCAAGCACTTTTTACAATGATGAATGAGGATATTTATTCCTCAACTCAGATTTAGTGATTGACTCAGACATTCTGACTGCTACAATGACACTGAAGTTGGGATATTTGAAGTGAATCAGTGAGCAGAACACTGAATTGAACTTATTGCTGATTTACTACCTGATATCTGCACAGAACCCAACATTTCTGATTTCCTCTTTTAAATCTGGCAGCTCAACCATATTTATAGTAAGCCTTGCTTCTCTCTTTGATTGTGAACAAGTAAAAAAGCGATGAAATATTAGTTACATAAATGTCTATCTCTAAAAATTCTCCACGGGGGATAAATAATTAACTGGATTATTTACTTTTTTTTTTCCCCCAGCAATACTATACAGTGCCTGAGTTAAGAGGTGGCTGTTATCACAGATATCAAGCTCTTCTGGAAGTTCTCTGTTTCCTGCACTGTTTCTGGTTTGGTGCAGCCCTGGACAATGTCAGGTGGGTCAGCTCCTGTCAGGGTAGGTGCATCCTCCCCCAGCCAGCAGGTCACTGAAGGGTTACTGATGCACCATCTGTTGACTTGGCTACTGGAATGGGAATAATTTGTGGCAGGATCCCAAATGATGAATTAACACTCAAATTTGTGTTGGGGATAAACATATTTATAAAGCTGCAATGCAATTACTTAATGCGATTACCAGATAATAAGGGAACTCTTCTGGAATTTTGTTGTCTGTAAAGACATCCTTACTCCTTGCTAACTTAGGAAAGTACATTACAGAGCTTTGGCAAAATCCCCACCTTTTATACAGTGCTATTCCAGAAGAACTTCCCAAGCAAATCAGGTTATGCCTCTGCACATCAGAGCCTTCATCATCTGAGTTTTGCCCTTACATGCAGAAGCAAAGACAACATTCATATTATAATAACCTCGAACCGAAGTTCAGGTGGTGTTGCAGAACTGGGGAAACATATATCCATAAACTGTTTTCCTGGCATAGAGAAGCCAAAATTTCATGCTAGATCAAATCATGTGGATTAAATGTCAACAGCCATAACCTTCAAGCAGGACTTGCAAACTCAATCACTGGATTATGCCAGACCAGTCTAATTCTTCATAAATCTCTTCCGTGTCTTTTGATATCATTAATGAATTTCTATGATAGTAAAATATATGAGATAATATAAACATTAAAAAGGGACAGCAAATCAATCTTTTTAATATTATCTCTCTTAGGAAGCAAGTGCTTCCTTAATATGAAAATTCATTGGCAGAACCTAGAAGTGAGTAATGGGTGCACTCCTGTGAAGAGGACATCTGACTGTGAACATCAAAGCAACTTGTGACTGTTGGGTTGTGTTTGTGTTCACACAGAAAATCTGTCATTCAGCAGCATCGGGGCATTTGTAGCTTGGGCACCTCGGGCTATGCAGTCTCACAGTGTAGCAGCCTGTCTGTACAAATAACTCTCTCCTCATATTTCAGGTTTCCAGATTTTTGTTCTTCCATGTTGGTCTGGAATATGTTTACAAAATACACGTGTATGTGCAGTTTATATTGCTAGGTATGGGGTTTTTTCCTCAACAAAACATAAACGAGGCACGAGGCACGAGGCTACTCAAAGGCATTCTCCTGCACAGTAGATTTTATTCTGCAAATTAAACTGCTGAAGTTGCAGCTGAACTTAGTAGCCAAGTTTATTCTGTCAGTGTCTGGTCTGTAATTCATGAACCTCCCTTTTTTGTAGCCAGAAGATTCCCTACTCTCTTTTTATTAGTCCTTTTAGGAATATATAATCATGATTTTCTTAAGATATTTATATGACTTCCAGGACCTGTACCAAAAAATACCTTTTTTTTTTTCTCTCCTCACAGGGATGTGGTGTCACCACTTGAAGATCTCAGGAAGGACAAATCAATTTTGAAGTGAGTCCTGGTGCTTCTTTTTTAACAATTAGTATTCCTGTTTCCCGTGGTTCCTCCTTTATAATGAGGTCTAAACATGTCAAGTCATTCTGGAATATTCCCTGAAGTATTTTGCTCTCTAAAGACAGCCATGGGGATATTCAAACATTTCTGAATTAGGTCAGACTGAGGTAACAACACCCGTTTTATCATGGAAGCAGCACACCGAAGGAAGTGTCAGGTTTTCCATTTCTGAGGGACTCGAGGCCAGGCCTTGGTGCCTTTCTGCATCTTTCACAGGGGTACCTGGATGGATCCCAGGGCCACACGGCGATGTTATTTACCATGAGTTGTACAGGTGGTGAGTCTAAATGATCTAATGATCTTATGCCCAGAAAATCTCTCACTCTACATAATATTCTTGACCTTTTCCTCTGTCGCTCATTTATCTGCACTTGGAGAAGGCTGGCACGTGGCTTCTTTTATTGATGGCTTGCTGCATGTCCTAGGATCACTGTTAATGTGCTGTAATCTTTATATAGCCATTAAAGCACTATTAGAGACCTCAGTCTTGGACTTTATATGGTCGTTGGAAGAGTTTTACACAGGTTATTATCATGTTCCTCTGTCTGGAACTGTTCAGCAAACACCAGGCAGCAATTACAGAAAGGGTTACTTACCATCAAACCTGTACACAGGGAGTTGGTGAGATATATTTCAGAGGTATAATTCACCCATCCACCAGAGCACAATAAAACACCTTCTTTATTTCTGATTTTATTGGTTCTGTCTGCTCTCATCTGGTGCCTGAACATTTTATCTGTTCACGCCGCTGTTTTCTAATGCAATAAAAAGAGCAGACAGGATTTTGCCCTTTATTTAAAATGTTTTGCTGCATTTAGAGGTAAATAACAGCCACTTTTTGTGTTGTATATTTTGAGACTTATCTGAGAAAGAATTGTTTTGATAGTAAGCAGGCTCTACAGGGTCCAACCATTGTTTAATATGAATAGTCTCTTCCTAACACCTTATTTTTCCTTTGCTCTGACATGAACCTGTCCCTCTCCCCTTCCATCAGCTCGTGCCCTAGGTGGGTGGTTTCCAAAGTGTGGTAGTGCTCAAACACAGCTCTCACCCCACAAACCAAGATGAGAGCTGGGTACTTGCCCTCAGGCTTAGGAAGAGACATCTCTGGGAGTCAGGCACCTGAGTTCCTTCAGTAATATTAAAGCAAAAAAAGGAGAGGAAGGCTCTGGCTCCCAGTTCGTACATGAATGGAGTTTAAATCATTTACATGAGGAATTCAGCGAGCAGAGATCCTCGCTTTCAAGCAGATATGTCTTTTCAGGAACAAGCTGACACTGAGCACCAAAACAGATCACAGGAACTACAACAAAAAGCAGTGTTCTGCCAAAGCTAAAGGCTGAGGAGTTTGTCAGGGAGAATGATGGAGCTAGAGGAGTGGTATTATAACAGGGAGAGGAGGAAAGAGTGGAAAGTATAAGAAACTGGAAAAGACTTTAAGAGACATAATGCTGTTTAATGGGGCAGAAACTGAGAGACAAGTGAACTACAGTGCAGTGATCAGCATTTTGTCAAGACGATTTGTAAAAGGGGACAAGTTGTAGATTAAACGCTTCGATTCACCTTTATGTCACTCTGCCTGTGCACTTGTGTCATTCTTTTAATGTAATAACCTCCACTAACACTTATAGGCTGCAGCATAATTTTGTTGGCCTTAAATTAAGGAAAAAAGATGTGATTCTAGAATTTGAAGCCTGCAGTACTTTACTGGCTAAAGGGTAAAATAAAGAAGTGTAGCTGAGTGACGTTTTCATGTCCCGTGATGAATCCGGGCTCATGCATCATAGGAAGTCCAAAACAACTTGGTTCATATAATTTCAGCCTCTGTCTCAATCCTAGAATTGTGTTAAAATTAAAGCCTCGGTTTTTAGGTATTTCTCATAATGATTTATGGGAATTGTTTTCTTTGTAACATAGAATATCATAGGATGGGAAACAGCAGTAGTTTGGGGAATCTTTCTGCTTTCTTTCCTTTTCTTTTTGTTCCTTGCTATGCGACACTGCAGAAATGCAATCTAAGTGAGTAGAAGAAAGGCAACTACATTAGGTTAACAAGTGAGGAAAAAAAGTCAATCTTTCAGGCTACAGAGGAGCTGATAAAGGAAAAAAACTGTGCCTGCAGTAGAAAGCCAAAAGATACCAAACAGCCTGAGATATGCTTTCACAAATCAACAAAGAACATAAACTAGGGAAAAAATGCCTTCCTCTGGTCTGTGTCCCTAAGATGAGAGACCGAAAACCTGTGAGTATAAAGCAGGTGTGGGATGGTTGTCAGTGGAATGTCAGCTTCCAGCAGACAGGAATAACTCAGAGGGCTCAGGATGAGTTCTCTGCTGCCTCACACGTTGTACAGTCTTTTAATCAAACCCCAGAACGAATCGTTTCCAGCCCCAAAACACACATCAGACCACGAGAAAGAGGATTACAGCACAAATGGTGCTTTACCAGGATTTAAGATCTAGAACTAGTACTAGACAGGGTTCAGCTTGAGTAATGATCTTAGTTCCTTCCTTTTCCCTTTCTCCTGAAATATATTTACCTACATCCATACCTGTTTCTTCAGCAGGCTTCTAGAGATCCTCAGAGGATCCATCCTTGAAGCACTTCCATCCTGGAAGTGCTCTGACCTTTAGATGTTGACAGAGGAGCTGTGTATTCTCATGTTCTATAGTATGTATTGACAATAATGGCAGTTTTTCCATTCCCTTTGTAAATAGTTTAATTTTTACATATTTCTATGATTTCAGGATAGAGTTACCCTTCCATAATATATATTTCTATCAATTCTTTTAATCTAGGGATGCCAATGCTGTACCACATATTGATAAATACATTATACCATTTAAACCATGTCACTCATCCAAAAGGAAAAATGCCCGATAATCTGTAATATGAGACTAATTAATTTACCCACAGAGGCAACACTACACGCACGGCCTGACTGATAAGCAGCTTCTGTCTCCTGTGGCCAGTGGTAATTCCTTTTCCATATTAGCCATGTGTTGGACCTTGGGTTTGCACATTTTGACACTGGTGCCAGATTATAGGTAACAGCTTTGGAATGTGAGTATCCTCTGACGAGGATTGCACACCACTACCAAAATAATTTCAGTTAGCACTCCAATTAACTGCAGAACTGAACTCCAGGGGTAGTAACCAGTGTCTTATCAATTTAATTGTTTGGTGCCCATGGATTTTTTTCTTTAGAATATTTTCAGCGAAGGATATGAGATACACCTTTTACCTCTCTGTTTTTGTCTCTTTCCATGGTATATCAATATATCCCATCAATCCCTTCAACATCTGAGAGGAATCCAACAGAAAAATCTTCAGTCTTCTAGGCCCCTAGAAGAAGTTTTTACCCCAGTGTCTGGAGCAATACTTCGGAAAATATTTCTGTAAAATTCTCCTTTTAATTCTTGATCATGCTCAGACATATTAGACTGATATAAAACCCCCTAACTAACTTCACCAGCCTCAGTGGAATAGCCGAAGTCTCTGCCAACTTTGCACTATCAAAGCATAATTATATTACAGTTATAAATATAATTATCACAGGACATTGGCTTCACAACCTGAATCTTCATGCTGAGGGCAGATAATAGCATTTGTCTAATATTTTCTTGCCACAGGGACTGATAACTCCAGGCTTTGTGACGGACCAAATCCTTGCTCTCCCCAGTTCCTTGGAGCTGAAGGTGCTCACCCACACTGACAGTTTAGTAAGTGAGACTGGATTATGTTTCTACTAGCAGAGCTGCTGTTATGCAAATTCCTATTCCAATGCACTTCCATAGGGAGAGAAATACAGACAAAAAAAAAATCAAGTTAAAAACTAGAAGGCAGCATTTCTGTGGCAGTGTAGCAACCAAAGAGGTGAGTGAGTGAAATACCAACAGAGAGGAGAGGAAGGTCACTGTCCCGAGGGAAAGCAATGCCAGATGGCCACGAGCACAAATTAAAAATTCTGCAGATATGAATTTTACTCTCATCCTTTGATTTTTTTAGCATAATTTGCACTGCAGTTTATTTTCATGGCCATTGGGGGGTTGGTAAAGGGCCAGATTGCTCTAAAGGGAAAATATTTTAATGTCTACATGCAGTGGGATATTCATATTGTCAGCATTAAACCTACTCAGATCAGCTCTGTCTCCTGAGATGACAGTGGCAATAAAAGAGCCACCTGAGGGACTCTTACAGCTGAGATGCAAATGCCCTCTCCCTTTTCTTGTAAAACAAAGCACGTGCACAGATCTCCTAGATGTGGTTGGACACCACTGAAACTTTGATTTAACTGCATTTCTGTGCTGAATCGAAATTTTCAATGGCAAACTGAGAACATTTTGGCCTTGAATAAGAAGAGACATTTCTTAATAACTGCAACTAGCTGCTTCAGAATTAAAACAAATGCTGACTGCACATTCATCCTGGCAAAAATAGAAGAACTGACCTTAGTAATGATTAACGGGGAATACGCCCAGATGTACATTTGAAACATTTGCATTTCGAGCACCAGAGAATAGTTTTTCCTCCCTAATGTTGCATAAAGAATAGTCAGTAAACTGCCATTCCTGTTTATGTTAGAGCTATATAGCTGAGCAACCAGCGTTCCAGATTTTGTTTCACTTCACAGTCTTCTGAGTTTTTCTTCTGCTGTGTTGTGTTTATTTTCTGGACATATTCAATTTTGCTTTTACAGGAGATAAAAATAATAAAAGAAATCTTATGGTAGAATAGTGGGAAGCAAATGACACTCATGCATTTTTCATTGATCCTTGAAAACTTAGATGAGCCTCAGACTTACTTTTGGATTTATCTATGCTGTGTTAGGGTGTTCTCAAAGAACCTTAAAGAAACAAATTCTCTGTTTTGCCTCCTATTTGTGGTAGGGGCAAAGAAGAACAAAATGAAATATCAGACTCAATGGCTTAAAAACCTGATAAACCTGTAGGAGAAAGATGTTTTCTGCTGCATCATTTGTCATAAATGAAGTTATTAAGATATAAAAAAACCCCCTCAACCCTAGCAGCCTTTGCCAGAAATGGGATAGACACAGTAATCTTGACACAGTTATTCCTTCAGTCTTTCTAACCTCTGAAGACAACTAAATTAACACAGAAATTGGAGCTCTCACACACCCTACAGCCAACAGCTCCCAAAATTATGAAAACCTTTATTGATTCAATTTGTTACAAATGCTGTCCTGAAGCAGCAAAAGTGACTCTGCACTGATTTATTTAAGCCTTTTACCTTTTGGCTGAGGGTATGCTTTGGCTTTGCATGGTCCCACTGAAGAGCAATGGAGAGCATAACAAGGATTACTCAGTCATGGAATCATCAAAGCATCTGCTAAGACTATTAGGTTGGGTTTTTCTCTTCCTACCGACTGTATTGGTGGACAATATTCTCAGACTGTGTTCAGAGTGCCTGGTCTGTTTACCTGGTCATTTTTAATTCTGCACTGATGGATTTGTCAGTTATCACATCGAACACAAGTATCAATATTGGTACTTTCTGCATGTTTGAAGCCTTTTACGGATGTGGCTCCAGGGCTTTGTATTTATAAGCAAACCGCAATTCATATTTACACTGTTCATTCTGATCTGTGAAACAGAGAAAAAAATCACAGAATCACTAAGGTTGGAAAAGCTCTCTAAGATCATCAAATCCAACCATTCTGCCAGCACTGTCAAGGCCACCACTGAACCATCTCCCTGAGTGCCCCGTAAGTGTCCCCCAGGGTGGCACTGACCACACTTGTCCATCCCAGGAGGGCCCGCGGATCATAAACTAACATTTTTGGAATCAGGAATCTCCAAGGTGTTTCTAACAACATACTCCATCAGTTCTTGTCACTTTTTATTCAGTGCAAGTACAAAAATTTCTGAGATGGACAATGAAAAGCAATACATAAAAATCCAAAACAAATGATCATAAATGGCCCTGATGAGAATCCAGATCATACATAATTTAATGGAGGTAGAAGGTCATTCTAAACACATTAAATATAACAGCACAAAGCAAACAGGCAAAGCACATCCTTATGTCATTGTGATATTGAGATTGAAAGATCACATGCTTAAAATAACTTAAAAGGAAAATAAAAAGTACTCAACAAGTGGAAAGCCAGATTTTTCTCTGCAGGTGCCATAGGTTTTGGGCACCCAGACCTGAAACATCAGTCATTCATCACCCTCAGGAGTCCTGCTTTTGTCTTGCTTTGGAGCGTACACCAAGAGTTCAGATTGAGATTAAGGGCAGCTTTTTTTAGGGGAAAAGGAATGGCAGCTGTCCCCTCCACTAAATAGTGGCAGTTAACACCAGAGATAAAACGCTGGCTGTTTTATCTCCCTTAAGAGCTGAAGAGATACACATGCATGTTATCAGGAGTTTTCCCATAGAATACTTGTGCATTTTCAGCCACATAGGATTTGGGGGTTTGATAATGTTTGGTAATGTTTCCTACAAAAGAACTCAAGGTGCTTCTGTATGTCAGAGTATTATTGTTATTTTAATTATGAAGACAAATAAATGAGTCACTGGCAGTGGTATTTAATGTGACGAGCACACGTAAGGGTGGCTTTGCAAGAGGCTGGTGACTACACTGACCCCCCCAATAGCTCCACTGTCCCCTTTGCACATGGGAAGGGTTAGTTGTACCTGCTTGCCCCACCATTCCACACATTCACTTGAAGATGGGCACAAAGGTATTAAAACAAACTTATCCCTGGGCAGAAAAGAAGCCAGTGCTGGTGCTCTGGACAGTCCCTAAATGGAAGAGCTGTAGTTTTTCTCCATTGCTGGTAGTGCAGCAAAACTCCTTACAGCAGCTAAAGAAATCCAGTAAGCCTTCTGTGTTTTCCTTAATTGTCTCTGATTTTCAGGAAGTCCCTTCTACTGTTTTCAATTCCCTAAAAATGGGCAGCTGTGGCACTGTGAGAAATAGCAGCATATTCCTTGGAAAACAGACAGGAAAGGATCAAAGTGGGTCTCAGGCTGGGGGTGCCCCTTCCAGGCTATTATGTGTCGTTCTGTTAGAATTCCTAATTCTTTAGGCACCTAAGTGGCTCCGAGTTCAACCATGTGCCTGGGGAGAGCTTTGATAAGCAGATCTGGACAAATGGAAACCCATCCACAGCCCTGAGCCCCAGCCCCCAGATCTGCCCGGCTCCTTTTATGCTCCCCTGGAGACCAGATGTTCCCCTTTGGATCAGATCCCCTGGGGCGAAGGCAGAGGTGTTTTTAAGGCACACTGCCATCCCATCACGGCCATGCTCTCCCAGTCACATCCATGCCCCCCATGGAGGCAGCAGCCTATTTCCCAGACCCTGAACAGCAGCAATTGGGGCAACCCCACAGCTGGGGCCACTCTGGCTGATGGGAAAGGACCCATACCTGGGCTGGGCTGGGCTGGGCTGGGCTGGGGGTGGAGAGGGAAGGGGCTGGGATGGAATGGTGCAACTGTTGGGCAGTTGTGGTGCAGGGAATGCCTCTGATGCTGTTGAGCCTCCCTGGCCTTGCTCTGGGGCTTGATCTGTCTCCTGTGGCCCTGTGAGGAGCCTGGTTGTGGCGAGAAGCCCAGCCCAGGGCAGAGGGTTTGGGTCTGGCTTGGGGCTGTGTGTGTGTGCCCTGACAGCTCCGGGAGCATCCGCTTTGTCTTCCAGGACCCCCTGGCATCGCGCCGAGGAGCTGCGGAACCAGAGTTCCGGGCCCAGCTTGGGCCCAGCTGGGTGGCCATCACTCGCCCTCCCAGGGTCCCCGCGGTGAAGGCTCTGTGAGGGCCGCGGCTGCGGGGGCCACACAGACGTCACCGCCGTTGGGATGGATCCATAGGGATGTGTGTCCCTTGTGACTGATGCCGGGGACATGACTGCCGTGCGGGATGGGCCTGTCTCTGGGTTTGGGGCTCGGGGCTCTGGAATCCCGCGGCTCTGCCGGGGCGGGGCGAGGGGCGGGGCGGAGGCTCCGGAACGCGGGGCTGGGGCAGCGATCCACCTATCCTATTTAATGGAGGTACTGCCGTCATTGTCACTGCCGTCAGTATTGTGTGTTGTCATTGATATTACACTGTCATATTTGTCTTGCTGTCCATTATTAAACTGTTCTGATCTCACCCCGCGGGCTGTGTTTTGTCTCCCGTTCCTTTCCCCATCCCACCGCATGGGTTGGGGATGAGCGAGCGGCTGCTGGTGCGGAGCTACCGGCTGAGGTTCGACCACCACACCGGGTCATTTTGGGGGCTTACAGAGAGAGACCCAGCGCTGCGTTTGGGGGGCTTGTAACTCACAGAGAGTCCTGCGATTCTGGGCTCACAAGCAGAGACCCACTGCTGTGTTTTGGGGGCTCAGAACCAGACTCGCTTGGTCAAAAGAGAGACCAAGTGCTGCATTTTGGGTGCTCAAAATTCAGGCTCAGAACTTAAAAGCAGACTAAATCCTGCATTTTGGACTCCTGAAACTAGACTCATATGGCCAATTCTGGGACTCAGAAACAGCGACTAAGACCTGTGTTTTCAGGGCTTAAGGCAGAGACCAAGGGCTGCATTTTGGTGGTTTAAGGCAGAGACTGAGTCTTGTACAGCATGTGGGCCTTGAAACCAGGCTTATGTGACCAGCGTTAAAACTGAGAAATGGAGACTAAAAGTCCTCCCGGCCTTAGGTGGCCACATTTTGGGCTTAGAAGCAGTGATCGATTCCTGCATTTTTGGGGGCCTGAGGAGAGACCATGTCTTTGGGCTCAGAAATGTTTGGGCTCAGAAATGAAGACCAAACGCTGGATTTGGGTGCTCAAAACCAGGCTAATTTGCACAAGTGTAAAAATGGAGATTAACTGTCAGGTGTTTTGGGGGCTTGAAACCAGGGTCACTCAGACATTTGGACTCAAAATGAGAGAAAGTTCTGCGGTTCGGGGAGCTTGACGTAAAGCCCAAATCCCCTGTTTTGGTGCTCAAACCAGGTTCATTTGGCCAGCAAGTCTCTGTTTCTCAGCTCTAAGTCCTGCATTTGGCACAGTCTGAACTCGGGCTCACCCGGCCACATCGAGAGCTCAGAATCCGCACCTCAGTGCCGCGTTTGGGGCTGGAGGCACGGCCCCTGTCCCGTGTTTTGGGACTCAAACCGGGCTCCGGGGACGGTTGTAGGGCTGAGAGCACAGCCCACGTCCCGCGTCTGGGGGCACTGGCAGAGCTCTGCGCATCGGGCTCAGCAGGTATCCTTGGGGGCTGCCCCTGCACCGGCACAGCCCCGGGTCCCCGCGGCAGGAGCGGGACCCGTGCACGAAGTCCCCAACCCCGCGCTGGCCGCAGTCTCAGCAGGAGCGGCAGCGCCGGATTCGGCCCCAGCGCCCGCCCCGGAGCGGTTCCTCCCGCCCGCGGCGGTCCCAGTCCCGCTCCCAGCCCGGCCTCGGTCCTCCGGCCCCGGGACCCCCACCCCGCCCGCTGGAGGAGACGCGGCACCCCGGTGGACACCAGCAGAACTCGGGTACGACCCCCCTGCTCCAACCCCGTCCCCGCCTCAGCCCCCGGGCTCCGCCCAGCGCCTGGGGCAGCCCCCGGGCCGGGCTCCGGCCCCCAGCGCAGGTCCCGCCCCCCGGGAGGAGCGGCCGCGGCACGGGGCGGGGCGGGGACGGGGCGGGGGGCGGGACGGGGGCAGGGGGGCCGAGGCGGCACAGGTGAGTGGGGCGGGGCCGCTCAGGTGCGCGGGGCCCCAGGGCGGCTGCGCAGGGCGGTACCAAGAGTATTTAAAACCCGGAAGTGACCCCGGGTGCCATTTGCTCGGTCAGTGTGCGGTCGGGGCGGCTCGTTCGTGCCGGGCTCCCCCAGGGGAGCCCAGGTGAGGCGCGGGGGCTTCAGCCTGCCGTGCTCTACCCCTTCTTCTCAACTCTCCTCGCTATCCCTTCTCCTTTTGGCCCCAGCCCCTCCTTTCCTCCCCTCCTGGCCCCCCTAAGCACTCCGACCCCCCCACTCTACCTCTCTTTCCTCCTCGCTCCTTCCCCCGCTACCCAGCTCAGCCTCCGTTCTATTACTGCTCTACCTTTCCTTCCTCCACCTTGCCTGCTCCTCCTCACCCGGCCTCCCGCTACACACACCCAGCACCCCTGGCCCCCCCATACCTCTTCTGTCCCCCATGCCCTTTTCTCCCCTATATCACTCTCTTCCCTCTACTCCTCTTCTCTCCCCCTCTTTCCCCTATACCCTCTGTCTTCCCGTACCCCGCTCCCTCTTTTCTCCCGCAGCCGCGGGGTTCGGGGCGCCGCTTTAATAAAGCCGCCAGGGCCAGACCCGGCGCCCCTCGCTACAGTCCCCACACGGGGTCGGGCCCGCTCGGCGGGTCCCCCCTGCAGTTCACAAGCACCGCCCGGCAACGCCGGGGCTCCGGCCTGTCCCGACATCACACTTGGGGCTCCAAAGTGGGCGGGTTGGGGCTGGGGGCAAGTCCTGCGAGTTTGTCTCAGAAACAGATCGAGAGGTCTGTTTCTGGGACCAAACCCAGGGGCCGTTTGGGCCGCGTGGGGTCGGGGGGAGGCGGGTGGGGAGGGGATGAGGGTCCCCTCCGGAGGAGGGGGCCCGGGGGGGGGGGGGGGACTTGGGGAGGGCCCCCTCCGGAGGAGGGGGTCCGGGGAGGGGGGTGGGATGGGCCCCCTCGGGGGAGGGGGCCGGGGGAGGGGGGGGGGGGGGGGGCGGAGGGGGGGGCCTTTCCCCCCCCCCAAACCCCCCCCTTCTCCCCCGGGTCCCCTCCTCCGGACGGGGTCCATCCCGGCCCCCTCCCCGGGACCCCCTCCTCCGGACAGGGGCCCCGGGGTGGGGGGAGGGAGGGGTGGGGGGGCAGCAGCAGGGGTCACGTCAGTCTGCATCATGAAGTGCGATCGTTTTGCAACGCAATGTACCCCCTCCCCACCCCGGGGCCCCTGTCCGGAGGAGGGGGTCCCGGGGAGGGGGCCGGGATGGACCCCGTCCGGAGGAGGGGACCCAGGGGAGAAGGGGGGGGGGGTTGGAGGGGGGGGAAGGCCCCCCCTCCGCCCCCCCCCCCCCCTCCCCGGGCCCCTCCCCCGGAGGGGGCCCATCCCACCCCCCTCCCCAGGACCCCCTCCTCCGGAGGGGGCCCCCCCCCCCCCCCCCCCCCCGGGCCCCCTCCTCCGGAGGGGACCCTCATCCCCTCCCCACCCGCCTCCCCCCGACCCCAAGACGCGGCCCAAACGGCCCCTGGGTTTGGTCCCAGAAACAGACCTCTCGATCTGTTTCTGAGACCAAACTCGCAGGACTTGCCCCCAGCCCCAACCCGCCCACTTGGAGCCCCAAGTGTGATGTCGGGACAGGCCGGAGCCCCGGCGGTGTCGGGCGGTGCTTGTGAACTGCAGGGGGGACCCGCCGAGCGGGCCCGACCCCGTGTGGGGACTGTAGCGAGGGGCGCCGGGTCTGGCCCTGGCGGCTTTATTAAAGCGGCGCCCCGAACCCCGCGGCTGCGGGAGAAAAGAGGGAGCGGGGTACGGGAAGACAGAGGGTATAGGGGAAAGAGGGGGAGAGAAGAGGAAAAAGGCAGGGAAAGGCCGGGTGAAGAAGGACAGGTGGGGTGGAGGAAGGAAGAGTAGAGGGGTAAGGGTCGGGGTGTGTAGGGGAACAGGAGTAGAGGGAGGTTGGGTTAGGGGGAAGGGAGGGTGAAGGGGTAGCGGTGGCATAGATGAGGGGTTCGTGTTGGGTAGCGGGAGGGACAAGGCAGGAAGGAAGGGCAGAAAGGTGCGTGTTGGGATACGTGAGGGCAGGCAGAGGGCAGTAGGGGTAGGCGGGGGGAATGGGGAGGGCAGGTAGGGTGGAGGAAGGAGGGAGACGAAGGAGGGTAGGGGTGGGTCGGGGGCCGGAGGCGGGCAGGGAGGGGGGCAGGGGTAGAGCGGGTTTGGGGGGGAGGGAGGGGAGGGGGCCGGAGGCGGGCAGGGAGGGGGGCAGGGGTAGAGCGGGTTTGGGGGGGAGGGAGGGGAGGGCTAGGGGGAGGAGAGGGAGGGGGGGGGGTTTGTGGGGGGGGTGGGAGTAGGGGGTGGGGGAGGGGAGGAAGGGAGGGGAAGAAATGAGAGGTATAGAGGAATATAGAGGAATAGACGTGGGAGGCCGAAGCCCCCGCGTCTCACCTGGGCCCCCCGGGGGAGCCAGCCCCGAACGAGCGACCCCGACCGCGCACTGACCGGGCAAATGGCGCCGTAGGCGATTTCCGGCGCTTAAATACTCTTGGTGCCGCCCCGCGCAGCCGCCCTGGGTTCCCGCGCACCTGTGCGGCCCCGCCCCGCTCACCTGTGCGCCCCCGCCCCCTTGGGTCCCGCCCTGCGCAGGCGCTCTGTGGCCCCGCGCACCTGCCCTGGCCCCGCCCCTCGCCCACCAGTGCCGGCCCCGCCTCCTCGGCCCCGCCCCTCCCGCGTCCCGTACTTCCCGGCAGAGCCGCGCCCGCCCCAGTCTGGGTCGCACGTGCTGCTCCAGGAGGCGCGGAAGCACCAGTGCTCGGAGCCGGAGCCCCGGCCCGGGGCTGATGCTGGTGCTGTGCAGAGCCCGGGAACGGTGAGGATCGGCCGCGGTTGGCGCCGCAACTGCGCACGGGGCCGGGTCTCTGGGGCTATGGAGCCGGCAGGGGGGATCCACCCGGTGCCGCAGTTCCCTGCGGGTACCAGGGCTCTGTCCTGCCCCGTGGAGCTGGTGCCTCGGCTCCGAGGTTTCCTGAGCTCCCGGCGCCCCGAGCCCTGGCCTGGCCCCCAGAACCCCGCACCAGTGTCACCCTCCCAGTCTCGCCACCGCGGGCAGGGGGAGCCCCGCTAAGTCCGCCGGTCCCTCTCCTCTCCTGTCCAGGGCTCCGGCCACGGGACCCGCCGCGGCTCTGCCGGTCCCGGGGGCGCTGAATGGGCGCGGCGGCTCCGCGCAGGTACCGAATAAAGGCTGGAAGTCACCGGCCGTGCTGGGGCTGCCCCGGCGCTGTCCACCCGGTCCTGCAGTCGCCTGCACTGGGGTCCCAGCCCCTGAGCGGCCCCAGCCGGGGAACAGCCTGGGAATGGTCATCTCGGCGCCTCCCGAACCGCCTCGTGCCCCCGGGACCACCTTGGAGGGAGCCTGCCCGTCTCAGGAACAGCGGTGGGGGCTCCACGGCCTGAAGCAGCGATGGGGACTTGTTTGGATCCTCCACGCACCGGCCACGTAAGCCTCACAACGCTGTGGCTGGGCTGCAGAACCCAACAAGGTAAGGCTTGACCTGCGTTCTGGGCCCTGAACCTGCCCTGATGAGCTGAGGGGGGCCAAACCCTGACAGTGCCAGGCCACGGCTCTGTGTTCCAAGCACACACAGGGTTTGGATTCTGTTCCTGAGCCCCCAAAATGCAGGATTTGGGCTCTCTGTTCAAGTACTTAAACTGCTTGGATGAGCCTTGTTTTGCACTCCCAAAACACAGACCTGAAGTCACTTTCACAGCCTTAGCATTGGCCCAGTGGGACTGGTTCCAAGTGCCAGCAACACAGAACTTTATCCCTGAGGCCCCCAAACCCTCGCCTCCACCGAAAAACCACTGGATTTAGTCTCCATTTCTGAGCCCCAAAAATGCCTGATTTATTAGTCCCAGTTTCATAAGGTCGTGGAATTGACTGTGGACATCGCTGCAGATGGTGACAGGGCAATGTACTTCTTGCACATTTGATTCTTTTCTAAGAATTTCCGTAACCTACCAAGAAAAATACATTTAGGATTAAAAGGTAAGAAGCTCCTCTATAAGCAGGTGCAAATATTATTCCACTGTTTTCCCACTGTTTCACTCTAGTGGCTCAAGCTGATCACTGGAAAAAGTTTGAGTAAGCACAGGTAAGGTATGTTTTGGAAATCCCTCTGCACAGGAATGAGCAGGTTTGCTGCGGTGGGGCTGGGTCATTAGATCTCACTGTACCACAGGCACCAACAAATTCCAAGTAGTAACTAAACACTTCCCACCCCCATCCCCCAAAACAAAGCCATGCGACACGGCCTATCTGCATTATGTATTTATCCCAATAATGAAGTATCCTATTATCCAAATACCAGGTTTGTTGTGGTGCCTCCAGCTCGCCGACTGATGCCCATCAGCGCTCCAGGCACACCGGGGGCACAGGGAACACCCCCGGGTTGGCTCGGTCTGATCCCAGCAAAAGGGAGGGAAGATCACCAGCGCTGAGCAGTCACCAGCAGGTGATGATCCAGGCATTCCTTGCCATGTCCCTTAGCTCAGGATAAGGTAGCTCCCACCTGCTGCTGCCAGGAAGAAACCACTTCCCAAGGACATCCCCAGTGGGCTCCCCAAGGATGACTGCGTTCCCATTCCAATGCCAGCTGCCCTGCTCTTTTCAGGTAAGAATATATTTGGAAAGAAGTCAAGGGCTTGGGCAGCATCCAGTGCATGGAATGCTACCTGATCCCGTAAGTCACATCCTGCCCCTGGGCTCCATGTCGTGGGGTTTCTCCTCAGGCACAGTGGGCTTTGCAAAAAGGAGGAAGATGTGAGTGCCCGAGGGCAGCCTGGCACTGTTTTGAGCAGAACCACACGGGCAGCTGGCAGGGCTGGTAGTGAGGGGGAGAACTCGCTCTGTGTTCCTGGAGCAGTATTAAGAGACTGGCCATAAGCATTTAATATTCATTTTAGGTTTAAAAACAACTCCCATCAACTGATACCAATATGCATTATGCAAAATAGCCACAATATCTGCAGGCTTCAAAACAAAGATAAACAATGTTGTTTTCCTTTACTTCTTTTATGCAATTATATATAAGTAAGATTAATAATGCTTGATGACATTTTCTTCCTTAAATCTCTAGGCCAGTATTATGCCTTAACTAGATTTCAAAAGCAGAAAGAGATGAAAGTGATAAATTAGAACCGATGCCCGATCTTTGCATATTCAGCTTTCCATTACAGAAATCCCTGAATTGATCCACGTGGTCTTCTGCTTGTATTATCTTCTATTTTGCCTCACTCTAATCTCATTATGACACCCTAAATCTACCCCGTTCTGCCTTTTGTGCTGGAGACTGCTGTCATCTCTTCTCCTGACATTAGCATGGGACATGTTTTTATGAAACAGATAATGGCAAACCAAATTGCATTTTGCTCCTTCTGCAGTAAATAGCATAACTTGGGAAGCTGAAACAAGGTGGTACAACTCATGAGTAGTAGCTTTCAACGTGATGAATACCAAATCAGAGGTAAGTTGTGGCTCCAGACTTGTGAGTTTTCAGAATTCATGGTCAGTAAATGGCTGTGTCCTTAAAGAAGATTTATCTTGTCAGGTCAGTCCTCCTATTTTTGTGAGCCACAATTATAGCTAGTGAGGGGCAACAAAGTAGACCACGTGTTTGGGGTGCTTTCTTAGATCCTCATTTCTGTGGAGTCTGACTACTTTTGTTAAGGGGAAGTCACATTACAGCAGGGAAAAGAGAAAAACAAAAAAATCTCTTTGCCCATGTAAAGAGCAATTGATTATTAAATATTTTTGCAATTTCCAGAGCTTCCTCCATCCATAAGTGTTGGATAACCATTGCATTAGATACTTTGAGTAATCTTAGCACGGTCCCACCTAACCATCCCCAGAAGTTGTAAAAGCCCCTGAATTTCCCCAGTGTGCAGGCTTATCCTGGCCAATTGCTTATCTAAGGAACTGACTGCTAATTGCTTTGGTCTTTATCAGATCTAAACAGGGAGCTGCTCTTTTTCAAGTCTTCACCTGTAGAAAACATATTGTTGTAAAATGTCACCAAAACAGAAATTACTGCTTAAGCTTTCTTTGCCCTTTCTTAGCACACAAGGGAAGAGCACACTATGGGGGTTAAAGTGCCTTATTCCTGCCTTTTGCGGCTCTTGGATCAACCTATGTGTTCATTTAGATCTTCCTGATAACTTTTGATCTTTTTTTAGTGGAATCAGAGCCAAGTGAAATTCTAGTAAAGCAGAGGTGAGCCAAACCCCAGCTGTCTGTATGATCTTTGACTGTGCACCTCACTGGGAATTGCCTATTCCCTGTTCCATCTGATATGAGATCAGATGGGATTCAAAGGATATTTAAAGGTTGGTGAAACACTTTAGACAGATTGCCCAGGCAATCATTCAACATGTGCAAGGCAAGAACTGTAAGATATGCTTAGAAAGATGCTGACCTAAGCAGAGATGGAAGGAGAGGAGAAAAAGGCTGGTTTTCGTCCTGCTTTCTAGGTGCCAATGATGCAAAGCCTGCAGCCATGGAGCCTGTTGTAATCCCTGTCCGTAGGCAAAACTTAGGGGAAGCTGTGCTCCCATTACACACAGAATCTCATGGCTGTCACATCTTTAGTAAAAGCCATGGGATAATATCCCAGAGACTCAGTTGTAGCCTTGCTGTGACTCAGATGTGCCAGTTTCTAATTAGCCAGCAGCACTGGGATGTACTTTTAGGGCCGAAGACTTCCCTCAATACGTAATGTAAGCCAGCTGAGCACCTGCTCAGAGCCTTTTGAAGTCAAATGAAAGACTAATTGTGACTGATTTTGATTAGGAGTCTGCTCTTGCGTGGCTGTGTAGCTGTAGCTGACTCATGCTGCACTGAGGAATAGGTCCTCTGTGCAAACCTTTAGTATGAGCTTTAATATTTCATATTTATTTTACATCTGCAGTGTTGATAACTGAAATGTGTTCAGAGCAATGCAGATTTTAAGGTAAGTGATGTTCCAGCCTGGCTGCTGGCTTTGTTAGACGGATTATCTCCATCTTTAAGTAATTACTTTCACCTGAACCGTGACAGTTATCAGGAATAATGACCTGGAAGATCTGAGAATAGAAACATTGTTTGGACACTATTTCACCAGGCACTGCAATAACCTGATCTCACAAGAACAAACAGTTGTGATTTAAGTGAGGATTTTTAGTCTGACAGGAACAGGCTGAATGAATCACTACATCCTGTGACCCCTCCAGGGGGAGGGGTGGGGACACTTCCCCCAGCTCCATTAGCTCACCTAACCTAAGGTGCTACTCCTGTCAGCTCCAACAGGATTCTGGTTTGGCCCAAAAACCTTTCAAATAGTCCAGGAGGAGGACAGATAAGCTCAGGGGTAAACAAAGGTCTCTTGGAAGACAAAGTATGTATTTCATTACGACAAGGCAAATTAAATCATCTTTTTATCTTCATGGTTTATGTTTTCTTTTGCTTGCTTGGATTTCTGCTCTTTGACTTTTGCCAGTCTTGGCACATTTAACTTTCCATAATTTCATCCTCTGCCTTTTCCAGGCTGCCTCTGGTTCAGCTCACCTAACACTTGTTAGTTTTATCATGATCTTTTTTGCCTTAGATAGTGTCCCTTTCTGTTTGCCATCATTCCTAACCACTACATCAAGGTGAATTCCCACCTGTAAGCAAGCAGGGATTTCTTGCCCTGGCCAAGAGAAGCAATCACCTGTGCGTGCATTTGCAAGTGTCAGCTGATATTTGATAAACCTCTGTTTTCCCCGAGCTCACAGATCACTTGCAGTGCAACATTTGGGGAGCCGGAAGCCTGTCTTAATGATCGTTACTCATGCACATGGTTACTGGAAAATCATTCATGAATATTGAATCCAATTATTATGAACAGGTGCAACCAAGTAACTACATTTCATGCTCACTGAGATATCACAAACACTTAAATTTGATAAAGTTAATACACAAATATATCCTCTGGTACACAACAATAACTTCATGTACATTCATGAGAATGCAAATATAATGATCATGATTCTCAGTTTTGAGGTTGTGATCAAGATTCATTTTCAGTAATTTTAAACAATTATTTCACCTCACTGCTTAATTCTTTCTACAGCTGGGAATCCAATAAGGGGAGAACACAGTTTATTGTAACCCCTTTCCTGCTAAAAACTGAGGCTCATTTAGGTCCCCGAGAGAAAGCACAGACAGTGATTTGCTGCCCCTGCTCTGCTGGGATTGCACATTGCATTCACGAGGGAAAGATGTCTTTATGAAAATTGATCTAATTATTTTTATGCTTCATAGTTCCCACTAAAATTATTTTGACCAGAAATAAGACTGTTGAGCATCACTGAGCAGAAAAGGAAACATTCAGCAATCCTGATAACCTTGTAGAAATTGTTGTTGTTGCTGACCTGAGCCCTGGGGGTGAAAGTTATAATGGTAACAGCAGTAATAGGAATACTAATATTCTTCAGTAATATCAGAAAATGCTTCTTCCTGTTTTAGGGAAAATGCCTATAGTGAATCTCCAAGTTACAGCCTCAACACTCACTTGGTTTCTATAGATAATAATTCCTCATACCTTCCTCACAAGGCATCTTCATCAGTTTAATCTTCTACCTGTTGGGCACTGTTCCCCCTCATTATTTCAAAGGTGAGAGCGAGGAACTTTGCAATTGACCTTCACTGAGCTCCACTCACAATATCTCTCACTCCTTTCATTTCTTTGCCAGCAAGGAGAAAGATTAAAGAGAAAAAAAAGTGCATTATGATCTATGGAAGGCCAGAAAGTGGCCTGAAGAGACGTAGTTTGGATTAACTCTGGTTAAGTAAAACCAAAGTCAATTAGGATTTCCTCAAGAAAAAAAAAAATTAAAGGATGAGATTATTAAAGTTATTTAAATAGTCTTATTAAGGTCTGCTCCTCCTGCTCCTCAAGGTTTTAGCTTTGGCACTTCTCTGAGCAATGTGAAATGCAGACTGTGAGTAATTGTGATGGACTGCACTGAAGAGGAATTGGAGGATGATTTCATTCCCCCCTCCAAATCAACTGGAATTGACTTAGACAAGGACAGGAATTCACTTTAGACTGTCAATCCTGCCCAATTAGCAGGAGGGTGACTTGGATCATTTGCACTTCTAATACTTAGCGGGCACCTGCTGAAGAGCTGTTAGATCACACTAAGCTCACACCTTTGAAATTAAGCTTTGTGGGATTGCTTAGAAGATGCTCTTCCTTATTTTGCATTTGACTCTCTCTCCTAGGGAACATAACGCTGTGGCCCATATGTCACCTGCCCGTTGTCCTGGATGAGGCAGAGCAGAGGACTGACTCCCCACTGTGGTATTCACATTCCCACTGCTGGAATATTGCATGACATCACTCGAAAACTGGAGTAATATGGTGCTGAATGAAACTACTCAGACGTTGCTGCAGCTTTCAGCACAGCTCTTCTATCAGCATAGAGAAGCCAAGTCACAGATGGCTTTTACACTGCTATAATTAATAATCATGGTACCGTGTTAGTGTCATCTTAGCATAAAAATGAATCTATAAATTGCATTCAGCATTTTTAGAGCATCTACACTGACTGTTTTTTGCAACAGAAGGGTACTGTTCTGACAGTAAGTCTTTTTGAACTGCATTTGTAAAGAACAATTTCAATTTACTGTTTGTTTTCTTTAACATTATTTATGAAGAGGCATAGTTAATTTTTTCTGTACATCAGTTTTAGATTGAGCCTTTACAAAGTTAGATTACTTTTCTTATTTTGCAGCATGATGTGTTATATCACTCCTGAGCTGGCCTAAACTTTGAACAGCCTGATGCTCACAGCACTCCCAAGACCATTTTCTTTGTGGGCAGCCCAAAACCCATTAATTATTTAATGATTGGACCTGAGGATCTTAAGGGTCTTTTCCAACCTAAATGATTCTGTGATTCCATATTCCCAAACTCATTTGGCTATTGAGGAGCCCAGACAGACACATTGTATTATGTAAATCACAATTATTCCCCCCCCCCCCAGATAGGCTATTTCCTACTCAGTATAAAAGGAATGTGTTTTTCTACACAGAAGCTGTAATTTACCTGATGTCATTTGCCATCCTAAACCAGAGCAGTAAAATGCAGCCAACAAGAAGCAAAGAAAAACATGAAATGAGTCCTTCACTGGCCCCTGGCCCCTAAGAGATGCCTGGAGAGTTTAAGGCTACAACCACCTTATTGTGAGGACTGGCCTGGTCTCTCTCAGGCTACAGCCCCCTTTTTGGGGGCGAGCTTACTGGGTCATAGCAGAAAATTCTCTTTAGTGAGTACTGATTCCCCCCTCCCCCCCTTTCCATGAGCATCTGATGGATTGGTTTTGGAATTCATGGGAGCTTCCTGCATCAGCAGCAGCCTGTGGTGCTGCGTTCAGTGGGTTAAGTACCTCTCATTTTTCAAACTGTCACGTGATAATTTCATCTGGTGACCCCAAGTTCTGGAACTGTGGGAATCAGGGCACCATTGTTCCTAGAGATGTTCCCCGTCAAGAGCTGTGGGCCATTTAGTTTTCCTGTTCCTTATCCCAGTCAACCTTATTCTCAGTCTTTTTATCCATATTAGTTTTATATGCCAAACTCACCAGCTAAACCTGCAGTGCCGCTGTGGACATACATGTAATATACTGAGTTTGTTCAGGGTTTTTTCAAAGTATCTTAAAATTTCTTTCTCTGTTATTCAGCTCCAAAAACACATATTACGAAAACACAATGTACTTTTTCTGGAGCTCTTTTGACAATAAGGTCCTTTCAAAACTGTTCTGTCTGGAGGGCACCTTTGCAGATTTAGTTATGCGCTCGAGTTCATTGACAGAGTAATCCTAAGTGACTGGGAAAACTTGGCATCTGCCTGGATCCACCAATATTTTTCAGATATGACATCGATCAGTTTTACAGCCTGTTATGGCGGAAGCTTAAGCTGAGCTTTTCACAGACTCAGAAATGCTCCTGGTGAATATCCCCAATCACTTTTCAGGAGCATCCTATCAAGTTGGGTTGATAAAGATGAGATTAACCTATTATGGATGTCATTTTTCTCAAACACCGATATTCTCATTTGTCACTTGTCCCTGGCAAGAAGCAGGTTTGACCTTTAAGGCAGGAATATATAAGATGATGTCAAAATGAATCAGAAACTGAAATAAAATAGAGGTGATACAGCATTTCCAAGACTGCAAGAGTGAGAGTTCACTCCCTATGCCCCCCCCAAAGACCCTATTCTAGAAACAGCAGTGCCAAACACCAACAAGTGCCTGCTTTACTTAAATATATTTTGGTGAATTTTAATGTGCTTGCAAGGAAAGGGTGAACAATAAGACAATGACTGGTGCAGACAAAGCTCTCGCCACTGGCAGAGTGGCCTGACCTTCTGCAGTTTTGTCACTTTAACCTTGGAAGATTTTGGCTTTGGGACTGCAGATTGCTGTGTGCCTTGTTTAGTGAGTTTGTAAAGTAAGTTAAATGAGCTGACATGGAAGAACTCTGCTTGCTATGGATATTACTGAGTTAAATACACCCTCAGGTTTCTGTGGATATAATCTGTTTCTCCTTGAATTGAAAGATTGAACTCTTTTTTTATACAGCGCTCACTATTACCTCATTATGTGGTACTTGGTAAGTGCATGGTTTTGAAAATTGTCTTACAGAATACTTCTAGAAAAGAATCTATGAGAGATTGAAATACTAGTGTTGAGCTTTTATTTCATGACATCACCCATCATGATTGAACGGATCGTGGCTTTGTCTTTCTGAGTAATTGCACCCATCTTCCAAATTTGCTGAATGATCATTTACTGTTTCCTACTTCGGATGATCAAGCCTTATATCAATAAAGCTCATACAGAACTGGTTCAGAATCACACTGAAATTCAATGACAAATCTGAAAATTGAAGGCTTGTCTCACAAGCACCAATCACACACCTCCTCATCCACCCAAACCGTGCCCCAAAGACAATCCTCTGCCCAGGAATAAAATATGAGCCCCAGTCCTGGAGAAAGTCAGCCCTCAGCTCAGGCCTAGCTATGAATTCCTGTAACACAAAAAACACGAGGTTTGTTTTTCACCTATACCCAAATTCATATCTCTGGTGAAGGCCTGAGCTGCTGACAAATAATTCCAACAAATCAGCAATTTCTGCCACTGGTTATGCTTCTTGGTGAGTGTTGTGCCACAAAAGTCCATAATCCTTCCCCATGTCTCTGCCTGCCACCCCTGCTCTGGGCTGTGCCCAGCACAGGAGATGTGGGATGGAGTTTTCTGAGCAGGAAATGTCCATCAAACAGAGGAGGTACCTCCACCCTCAGTGTATCACAGCAGTGAGATGAAGATCATCACTGCAGCAATATGGCATTTATTTAGAGACAGGTAACCTTTGCCCCTTCAAACTGCTTCAGTCACATCACCACTCAAAATCTGGCACCAGAGTTCTCAACAGCTGGAAGAATAACCTGCCCATTTCCTATTTACTTGGGTTCCTCCCACACTGCAACAGCAGCGTCCTAGGCCCCTGCTTTTTAATTCTGTGATAACTGCAGCTTTTTCAAAATCCAAATCTGAATCTAGAGAACATTTGTGGGAAGTAGTAGCACCAAACGAAAGTATTGACAGAGCAGCCACTGGATTTAAGAGGAAAATTATTATAACGTGAAGGAAAAACTTGCATCAAGGTTTTTTTAAAGACAAACATCTCAAAGCTTCATCCTTTAAAGTTCTGCCCTCATTTGTACGAGTTCTGTGAATGCTGCAGCCGTTGTGTACAAGCACATCCCTTCCCGGAGCCTGCTAGGGAAGCTCCATGAAATATGTGCTGTCACTGGAGCAGGAGCCCTGGCTGCCAGGCTGCCAGTCGGTGGGGTGGGATGGCTGCCAGCCCATCTGCCCACACCTGTCCCTGGAGGGCTCCGTGGCCCAGCCCTGCCTCCCACCTCAAAGGTCTCCTGCGACCAGGCGGGCACGGGGCCAGCACCTGATGTCACCCTTCCCCCTAAGGACGTGATGCCTGGAAAGGGAAGAGCACAGCAAGTCAGGTTCATGCTGCAGGATTTCAGGATGCAGAGCAAGGACTTGTGTTCACACTCATTCACACTTTGTGACTGTGTACACACTCAGTTGGCAGCGTGCCAAGAGCAGCACCCCTCTCCTCCCTTCCAGTGCCTGGGACTTTATCCACGCTGTGTTTTCCTACCACTCTCTGTGTTTTGCTACCAGTGCCTGCCCAGCCTCGCCCAGTACAAAACCAGCCAGAGTTTGATCATGATTATAAATTTATAAGCTAAAGCATAATCTACTCTGGTAAAATGTAAGACCTAAAGTCATCACACTCCTCTCTGTTTACCTCTTCATTACTCAGTCAAAAAAGAGAAGTATTTATGATTGCAGCTTTCAAAGTAAGTTTCCTTCTTCAAGTTGTTTCTTCAGATTTCCCACAAAAATCCCTCAACATAATAAATAATTCTAATTAGCTTACTAGCAAAGGATTTAGCCTTTTCCTAATAAATCCAAATAGTTTCAGTAGAACAAGTTCACAATCATTTTTCTTTTCTATCCCTTGCTTCAAGACTTGCCTCTTCACTTTTTTATACTCAATGCTATATTTCAGATTTTTAAGCTGAAGAAAAATCCTTCTCTCTGAAGATTTTCTCATCAAGTGAGCCATATATATTTTTTAATAGGAATATCAAACCCAGCCTGACGGAACAAACACCCTAAGACATCTTCTGGACATGAATGTCTCTTTGAAAATATTAAAGCTCTAAAGGCTGAATTGTTTGCAGGTTTAACTGAACTGAAAGAATAAGAGACATTGCAATAAGACAAAAATGACAACTCAGGTCTGCAGCATACAATCAATATTATAGGATTTCTTCAGCAGCCCATGCCCTGTTCGCCAATTTAACACATAAAATATGTACACTTTAAAAATGGTTCCTGAAACGTTGCCCTTCAATCTATTAACAAAAGTTGACTGAGTAGGTACTTGAGAAAATCCTAATGCTAAGAAACATTTCGATCTTAGCATTTACTTTTGAATGGGGGCTTATTTTTTTAGATTTTGAAACTTTTAGTTAGCTAGTGCGGTGGAATCTGGCCTTTAATAGATACTTTTAACTTTAATGTAGTGTAATGGTACGAGTGGACCTTTGTTTCCAACTGCTTGTGCTTGTTTCTGTTGACCCTATATTGACCCCAAATAAATACGGTGCTAGGTTTACATATAAATTAGGGTGGTATAAAGATAACTATTATTTCTTCAGAAAGAGTCCCCTACAACAACATAAAATTTCTTCTCAAGCCAAGGAAAGTTTATTTCACCTCTGGTAATTTTATTGTGGGTGTGCTAGGTGGAAATACAGAACTGTGAAAAGGCTCATTTTAGCAGGGATAACAACTCACCAAAGTTATTCTGAGGAATGGGGTGGAATGAATCATATTCATACGTGTGTGTGCTGGATGGCAAAAATCAATGCTTTCTCTTAGCAAAGACACTCTCGGGGATAGAGAAATCAGAGCTGCGAAAAACCCAACAAATTTTGCCTGACAGATTTTCCAGGCAAACTACACCGCTGGTGCAGTGGGAGTGCGCTGGGGATGTCAGGCCCTGCATGGAAGGAGCAGCCTGTTTCACTGTGGCTCCTTTGGGATCCCTGGTATTGCCCAGAACCCACTGCACTCCCCCCCCCCGCGATGCACCGCCCAGGCTGGGAAGCAGTGGAGATGTTGGGATGGCAGGGAGCAGGAGTCCAGAGGGGGATGCAGGACGGGTGCTGCAGGAACAGGCAGGCACTATCACACGCAAACCCGAAAATGGGGACAAAAATAAGAGAAGCAGATTTGAAGGGAAAGAAAAACGAAGCACGGTGTTCCAAGATGAACAAACCCCACTCGCTGGTGTCCCCATCCTATTAAGATCTATCCCTGTGGCCCAGTTCAGCACTGTTCCCTATTTGATGCCAGTGCTGTTGCAGGCATTCCCTGGAGGCTCACCACCATTAAGCCGGTGTAATGGTGTCCAGGCTGAGGAAGTCCAATTATTGGTGGTGTTTAATGGGCCCCTTTTAAAACATCCCCACCTCACGGAGTCCAACAATACCCTGTTAAACAATAATCATGGCCAGAATGGTGTATATTCCTGCAGGCCTCAGACACAAAACCCGCCCGTTTTGTCTGCATCTCCAGCCTTCAATGGCCCTGAGAGAAGAGGGAGAATTGGTATTTCTGTCCGGGAAATGCTCTCTCCTGGGAAGGAGAAAGGCAGCCTTTTCTTGCCCACCATTACCAACAATTATAGCCCTGCCTCTTTGTTTGTCAGCACTAATAATATGGCTCAGGAGAGAGCAGAACAGATGATGAAAGGTGCTCCACTAGCGTGGTGCTGACAGCTACTGAACTACCTTTGGTCCTTGTTAGGAGAAATTATGTGATCTAAATGTCAGTGCCTAATGCAACCCCATCGGAATGCACAGGACTGGAGCACATACAGCAAAAATAAGGGAAAATTGCTGCAGCCTGATGGTTGCTGGCTAATACCAGCAGTAAGAAAAGAACTACATGGAATTGAAAAATTACATATTTAACAAGTAGATGGATGGTAATAATTACTTTAGGCCAATACTGAATCCTGTCTGGGGCCATTAATTACGAGTCAGTCTGCTGATCTGAGTGGGAGTGAGGTGTTTACAAACCATTGCCATGACAAAAGGATCCCTCCCATCAGCAGCTTGTTGAGGTGCCCTCGTAGGGTATTTGCACAGAAAATACACTGCAGAGCAAGGCTGAAAGCAGCAGGTAACCACCCAGCTTTTATCCAGTGAGCCTCTTCTATTTTCTGTGCTGTGCACCAGGAAGCAATACTGCTTTATGTAGAAAGGAAGAAAAGAAGCAACCTAAGGAGCGGGAGTTGCTCTAAACACAAGAAAGTCCACACTTCCAAAGGCAAACTTGCCTTGTTTTCCCTCTTGAAAATAAAAGGGCAAGTCTCTGTTTGCTTCATCCTCATCAGAAAAGCTAACCCTTGTTCTGCTAAACAGGATCAAGCCAGTATTGATTCTACTCTGAGAATAACGTAGCTGAAAATTAGATGGTTTACACACACACCAAAACAAGTAGCGATAATGAAGTTGGAATAGCAAAGCTGAGCCTTAAGCTAGGCTTGATTCATACCATGAAATCATCAGGTTTTATGAGCTCAGGAGGGCTGCACCTCTTCATTATCTGGATGGAAGACTTCACAAAAAGCCTCAGGAGCTGAAGGAACAATGGAGGTACTTCAGCTCAAGATCAATAAACTGTCGTGCTGTTCAGTGCCTGGGTGCATTTTGTTGCCAGAGATCAGCTTGGAAGGGCTCAAACACTGCCACTGCCAGCCCCGCAGCAAGAGCATCCTGCATCCCACCAATGCTCAGCCTACTTTGTAAAGAAGATTCTAGAATTAAAGGACAAGATGAGGACAGTGACCAAATGCCTGGGGCTGTGCCTGCCCACACTTTGTCACACCGAGCTCTGGCTCATGTCAAGACCAGAAGGTCACTGCTCGAAGGGATGGCAGCGGTAGCAGCCCTGTCTGTGGCTGTGTCCCTCTGCTACTCAGATACTGGTACCATTTTTATTTGATGCCTCCTAGGTTCATGTAACAAAAGGCAGACAAAAACTAGGCCTGGTTACATTTCTATGGCAGAGCTGT